TGAGAGAGAGCGGAAAGAAGGAGGAGGGGGAGAAGGAAGGTGTACAGGAGTACAGGTGACAGGCAGAGAAAGTGGCAAGGCACTGGAAGAGAAGAGAGGAGAAGAGGAAGCGGAAAAGGATCAGAGACGGGGAAGAGAAGAAGAGGAGGAGGAAGAGAAGAGAGAAGATGAAGACGGAAGGAAGGAGGAGTAGGAGAGAGAGAAATGGAGCAGGAGGAAAGAGAGGAGGGCGAACACAAGGAACCAAGCGATCGAGTGTTAGAAGTCGAGTGATCGAAGAGAGATTGGCCGAGGAGATCGAGAGATCGAAGCGGCGGAAAGGAGGTGTGATTGGCCGGAAAATTCGAGAGATCGATTCGGTAGGAGAAGGCAGTGAGTAGAGGAGCGCACGAGAAGGGGCGGAGAAGGGAGGAGGGTCACGGGGAAAGGGGAAAGTAACAGTAGAAAGCACGTAATAGTATAGGCGACGAGACTGAGGAGACGATAGAAACGAAAGTAAAGAAAGAAAGGAGAGAAAAAGCAGAAAAGAAAGCGCAAAGGAGAGGAGAAAGTGGAGGAAAGAAGGTAGGAAAGGAAGGGCAGAGGGAGGAACAAAAGGGGATAGAAGAGGTAGCGGGAGATAGCGAGCGGGGAAGAAAGAGTGAGGTTAGGGCGGGTGCCCAGCGTGGGCGCGGGGAAGGCAACCGGCGCACAGTGGTTCCAAATCCCAAAAACCTGGCCAAAATATGAAGGCGTTCTTCAATTTGAATGAAACTTACAATTAGTATACTAAGGTTTTCGAGGTCGCTGATTACGAATCAAAAGTCAAAATTACGAAAAGCAAAATGGCAGTTCCAATATGGCGGACATATATATTTAAAAATATCAGATTTAGCCGAAATTTGGTAACGGGGTGTTTTCCAGGTCGCTGATTACAAATCCAAGATCAAAATGACAAATAACAAAATGGTGGATCCAATATGGCGGATGTGAATGTTAAAAAAGACGTTTAAAAAACGAAAATAGATACATTTTTGTCATGACCGTTAATTATAAATTTGAAATAAAATTAAGTTAACAAATATCAAGAAGAAAAAATTTTGTTTAAATAATTATAGTTATTTTTTATTTAGTGTAAATTAAAATTTTAGAAAATTATTAGTAGGAGCGCTCAAATAAAGAGTAAAAGATGTGTAATAAATATGCATTTATCAAAATAAATTTAATAATTATTAAATAGAAAATTATTAAATAGAAAATGTATAATGTATTGTTACGCTCCACGCGCGTCCTCGCACACTCCGGTCGCCGCGTCTCCGCGCACTCAGACCGCGCACTCGATTGACGGGAGTGCCCGGCACTCTTCCGCGCACGTACGCGTCAAAGAGACAAACCAAAATGAGAAGAACAAGAACAGAGGAACTTTATTAGAATTACAACACGTGAGCACAGCTCGAGAGCCAAGCTTCGAATCCATCGATTGATTACATAAACAATAGTTGCCGATCGGTATCGTGGCAACCCGCCACGATACCGGGCGCCGCTTTCCGTTAGTGAGCAGGATTCCTTGCGAGCGTAACAGTATAATAAATTATTAAATAAATGAAATAAAAGGCTCAGAGCCAGAACAGGATAGTAGTGTTCAAAATCTTTAATTATAAATAGATATAGACGTTTCGGTCCTTATTGGACCATATAATAAAGAACACAATTTAAAACATTATCAAGCTAGGAATATAAATTAAAAAGTAAAACAACATCTTCGGTATAATAAAGAACACAATTTAAAACATTATCAAGCTAGGAATATAAATTAAAATGTAAAACAACATATACGCAGTGGGTTCGATAAGATTCTAATAAATAAAAAGACAGAACATATTAAAAGATAGCGCAGTCAAACAAATTAAAAGTGTAAATACAATAAAATAAAACGCAGATGTATAGAGTAAAATCGCAAATAAATTAAACGCATTGAGTTGTCAAAAAATACTATAGCCATGTTGGACTGTGTGAAGTGAAGTAATAACGTAAATTATTAATCAAAGTCTTCATCTGTTAAATCATTATCGGTGTCATAGTCAGTTGACTGTGCTATGGAAACATTGAAGGCTTCATCATTCATTTCAACGGATGGTGGATTTAATAACTGTACTGCTTCTGGCGACAACGATTTTAATTTTTTTTGTGGCAATTTTCTTAGACTTGATATAAATGGATCTGATGCTACCAAGAGCCGTAAAAAAACATCTTCCATTGTGTTTATTCTATTACTTTTCCTCGAAAAGTCTTCTCGAAATCGTTTAATATATTTGTTCGTAGATTCTTGAGCATCTTCAGCCATTTGTCCAATCGGCAATAAAGAAGAAGATATTATTTCTGTACCATGAATTAAAAGTTTGTGGAGTGAAGTTGGCATATAGTACCATGGATACAGTTGTACAAATTTACGAGCTGTTTCTATTGAATATTCTCGAAATTTAGTTAAATTGATGTCGTGGCCACTTGAAATTGCTTGCAATATTACGTGAAATCGCTTAATTAAATCTTCATCAACTCCTGTTATAGAGGCGGAAAAGGTTTTGGTTGATCGATGATAAATCCCAGTTGCAAACGGAAACCTTTTTTTATATTGTCTGATCGAGTCTGCACTTTTTCCTTCTCTTCAGCAGTGCGCGCTTGCCATTTCTTGATGTCCAGTTTGTATGACAAATGTAAGCAGCATTCGAAAAATCGTATCCATGCATGTAGCGTAGATAATCCAAACTGCAAATTATCTTCTTTTACTTCTTTTTGCAAAATTGCATCAATATCATTAAAATCTTTGGATGTTGTATTACATAAGTAGCAACGTTGAGTAGATGCAGTATTGGTGAGTGCGTTGCAAACTTTACCGTCTATCATTGTTAGAGCAAGCTTATACGATACTGTAATTTCTTTTCCATCCATTATTGTTTCGAAACTGATAAGTTTACTTTCTTGTTCTTTAATGTAATTTGCTTCATTAATGGTGGCTTCAGCATTTTCATGTAAAAATTGTAACCTTATAGGCCTGCAAAATCGACGAGAAGAAGGTCTCGGATTTTTCCATACTATAATTTCTGCCTTTGTAGTTTCATTAATAGATATGAGTTGTAATGGTACTAGAGAAGTGAAAAAAACGTTTGCATCCAATTTACTTCCATCATCATCGCTAAATTTTTGTTTATACATACTTTGAACAGAGGTGCCATCGCAACTCCACTTACAAATTAAATTTAAATTACGAATATTTTCAGATGCCAAGCTTTTGATAACATCCATTTGTGTTAATAAAATTCGTTCAGTTGTATAATCTAAAAGAGTCTGTAGTTTTACTTCAGCACTACATTCTGTTACGGAAATGCTTGACTTATGTGGGTAGCATTTACACTTAGCTTCCAATATTGCCTTATATGATGGATATAATTTGCATTTATTTTCTCTGCTTACAGCTCGTAAACCTTGATATTGGCTTCTTGATAATTTCAGCTCGATCAAAAGCGAAAGAGCAGAATCGGCAGAGAGAATATTTTCTTCAACTAATCCAATAGACCTTCTGTACTTTTTGCTCTTGATGGGCTACTCATTGTCACATCCTTCATAACATTTGCAGCATCCGTTTTTCCTGCAGCTCGAAGACTCATTTGCGTCGCGTAAGACAGTTCTTGGACACTTGCCTGTGAACGAAGGCTTTCAGTTCTTCTTCGCTTTGTTCTTTCACTCGAACTTGCGAATTCTGAGGCAGGACGACCTAAATTTGATTTTTTTGGCGTTTCTACAATTTTTTATCTTCTTCGAAAGAAACAAAAACATTTAGATAATTATCAAAAGTGTTAAAAAATCTTTGTTCCATCCTTTTAGCTTGCTGCCACTTCGTTTTAAAATAAAAAATTAATTTGCGTATAATTGGTTTCACAGATTCTGGTAATGTAAAAGAGGATTGTAATTTCTCTGACATGATATTTTCAATTTTTGTATATGCTATAGTCGCATTTTCGTTTAAATGATCCTTCAATAAAAGAAAAATCTCCTTTCTCAATAAACCAATTTTTTCGGTATTATCTGCAGATTCTAAAATATTAAAATATATACTGCTATATGAGCCATGAAAACTAAATTTAATATATTGATTAGGTCTTTATATTAAAGCTTAAGTTAGTATGGAACGAAGACCTACGAGGCAATGTGAGCCGTCACTTGATTAAGAACTCATACTTGCGCACATCATTATCAACCATCGCTTAGTTCTGTTTGTCGCATATATATTATATATGGAAAAAATTTAAGTGACTCACCGTTTCCATGCGTCTTTTATTATAACCAATGTTTACAAATGCGAAGAAATTATGGCTGGAAAAGGTCACATATAGTGACCGAAACGTACCAATGTTATTTAACTTATTTTATTTTATTTTATATTAGACTATTTGAATTTTGTAAAGATCCCCAATGAGGAATTTTCCTAAAATATAAGTTAATTTATCTAATATTCAGATTAATTAATTTATTCACCTAAGTTCAAGTGACGGCTCACATTGCCTTCGTAGGTCTTCGTTCC